CAACTTTTTAACTCAGAGAGCTTTTTTTGCATTGTCATGGAAAATTGCCTTCAATAAATCCTTGAGAGAAGAGTCACAAGATGTAGAATAATAGTCTGATGCCATCTACCTTAATATATTTAATTTTCTACTTAGATAAATTTAGGGAGTTTTGTTATGTTCCCTATGAGCAAAACTGCTATATTTACTCCAAAATTAAATAAAATGATCCTCTATATTTAAAGTTTTGACCACTTGTATACACAAGTATATAAAAAAGTTATTATATTTGCTAAATAGCTCAACACTTCCTAAACATATCTTATCTACTCAGAGCTTCCATTACATGTTTTCACTCCAGTTTATTTTTAATACAGTAAAAGAAGAAATCAATCAGACCCACTCTTTCTGATAAAACAACAGTGTTTATTTCTCCAATACAGTACACTCTCTAAGACATATAATATCTAATATACACTTGTGGCAGAAGTAAATTTAAACTTCTTGGAGAGGAGAGTTGGGAATTCCCGAACCATTTGAAATCTCGGCAGAGCTTTTCAGGCACCTAGGAGACCCTAACTTGTTGGTCTATAAAGCACCATAAAATCCCTGAAGAGAGGCTGGCTGTACTTCTCTACCTCAAAGTGAGGAGTTCTGAGTATTGGAGGAAAGGACAATCCTGACAAACAATACATCTGAAAGTGAACAGACCCTTCATTGTGCAGTGAGTGAAGTATTTCAGAGATAAGTAATATCAGCTACCATCAAACTCTGAAAAGTCCGTTTAATTCAGTTGATATAAAAATAGCCAATTTGCATTAAAAGTAAAATTTTAAAATAAAAAAAAAGACAGGGTAAAAGGACCAAACCAACTAAGTAGTGTTATTGAGCTAGGAATATATGATTTGAAGGTTAAATTGTTTGGAGAACTTAGTGTTTTATAAGTACCACATTTTAAAGTGAAATTATTGGCTAATTTTATCTTCTTTTTATCTGTTTTGTCTAAGTAATAATGATTTTATTTGTCATCAACTTATTTAAAGGATACTGATTAATGTCAAATGTACATATTCTATTTAAAAAGCTGAATTTTACATGTAAAAACTCCCCAATGTCATGTGCTGTGGTTTTTGGCTTGATAACTCTCTCTAGTCCTGAAACCAACATCTCAAGAATATTATTTATAAGCAAGCATGGCATTTGGATAAATCAGCATCCTCTAGTTTTAGGTGTTAAACTATGGAGATCACCATATGCCTTTTCAAGTTTATAGTTTTTCTTTGTCTTCCCCCATTAAGCAAAAGAGCTTTTCCAAATTTGAGGTTATACCTACTGGTGGTATTTGTCATCGTCTTTACAAATGCCAAGATATTCAAACAGGACTCTGTGTTCTGTGATCATGGCCATTCAAAACCAAGATTAAATTAGTATAAAAATTTAGAATTGTTCCAGGTAGAGAACTATTCTTCTAGTGTCTAGAGATTTCTGGACATGCAGTTTAAGTTTGAATTAACCGTATAAGATAGCTATATTTTTTAATGTGAGTTTTCTTTAAAGTCACTGTAATTTTGCAAATGTTGTATGTTAGTAAAGTATACACATTTGCCTTTCCCCAAAAGATGCTTCTTCAGAATTCTTAAATTACAATTTATCAGTGCAGTTTATCCTGTATTTTAAAGTTAAAACAAATATTGATCTAGACAGAGATATAAATTTGTTATATATCTCTGAATCTTCAATTTTGTAAATTTTGTTTTTCAATTATGTCAACATTACTTTTTTGGTTTAATCTTTCTAAATAAACATTAAGATAGATATGATTATAAATATTTTGGCAATAAGTAATGCTCTTCTCAGAAAAGCTAAGTGATGAAGACAATATTTAAGTTGCAATAATTCAGTATTCCATAATACTGTTTTATTTCTCACTCATGGTTGAATTTTTCACTCAGAGCTTACAATTCTGCCTGATGCAAAAATTGATACAAGGAAGTATAGCATAACATAACATAAATTCAAAGGAGAAGCTAGAGGAACAGACTTTCCTGCAAGCAACAAACCTAAGAATGAGTTTAGGTCTGGGTCTTTTCCATGACTAACATAAAATAAAATAAAATAAAAAGTAAATAGAAAGATACTTAAAACAAAAGTTATGGTAAAACAGGAAGCTTTATGCAAATAAGTAAGATAAATGCATAACAAGTACATATTTATATAAAGGACTGGGTTACACACATAATTATGTTTAGGTACAGGCTATGCTAATATAAATATTCATTATATGGTTTTAAGTTACCTCTAGCAGGAGCATTCTCACTCAAATAACTTGTGTAAGAACATGATTTTGTGTATGCTTTTTTGGTTTGATTTTCATGGGGAAAATCTATATACATGTACATATATACACATACATAAAACAATTCCTACATATTACTTAGATGTATTATATGGCATATACATAATAATTATTTAGTGTACTTGCTTATAGAAATTCAAGTACTAGGATCCATAAACTATGTACCAAATTCACCACTGGACTATGGCATGAAGTACTATTTAATTTTTTTTTCTAAAAAATTCCTTCCTTCCTTTCTTCCCTTCTGTATCTGTCTATATGTGTATTTCCTGCAATCTCTATTTATCTCTGTTCTCTTTTGTTCATTCAACAAATATTTAAGCTACTATCACCAAGAACTTAAAAAATATATGACCATTTTTATAATTCTTTCAAAAGTATGAGATGTAAAGATGATTAGATAAATTAAGAGACACATATATGTATACATATATAGAATTTCTTTTATATGCTCCTAGTTTTTGCTCTCATATCATATTATCATATCAAAATTATATTAGCTTGTAATATGATGTCTTGGACTACATGAACAATAAGAAATTATATTGTGCTACAGAAATATTTTCATTTTTGCTAATGATGATCTGTGTTTTCTAGTGAAAATAATATGGGATCTTATTTCATAATGTCTATGATTCACTTACATTTATATTTGTGCTAAATTGAAAAATAGTAAAAAACTCAAAAATAAATGCTAAATGATTAGCTTTAGGCAATATGCCTAAAAGATTAGTTGAGAAGGAGAAATACAAGCATAATTAAAAACCTTATGAGTGCAGACAGGCACTGGTGGCTAATGCCTACAATCCTAGTTACTCAGGAGGCAGAGATCACGAGGATCTTGGTTGCAAGTCAGCCCAGAGAAACAGTTCACAAGACCCTATCTGGAAAATACCTAACACAGAAAGGGCTGGTGGAGTGGCTCAAGATATAGGCCCTGAGTTCAAGCCCCAGTAGTGCAAATAAAAACCTTATGAATGCAATGATAGATTTTAAAAAGTGTCAAAGAGTATCCAAAATAAGGATTATTTAATTCTATCTTAAAGATAGAATTTCTGAAAGAAATAAAATCTGTATTTTAAAAATTTACTAAAGACTAAAGAGAAATTTGCTAGGTATAAAAGGAAGATCTCAAAGTCCAGGGGTTTGGCTTGGGTGAAGTTGTAACAACACAAACTAAGAAATGACAATGATAGAGCTTCAAAATGTATAAACAATGGATTGATGGGGGAAATCCTTGAAGTAGAAATTTCAGAAAATAAATTGACACAATTTATTTTAATGCAACAATGATTAAAATGTATAATAATGGTGAGGTTTATATAGAAATGGTAATTTGGATTGAGTATGGGGGTTCAGGAATTAACTGAAGCTTTGAAAGAATTCAAATTGCCTAGAAATTTTATATGAATCAGAAGAGAAGAGAATGAGTATAAAAGAAACAAACAAAACAAGAAATATAGATTGTATGCTTTTTGTGCAAAGGGGGCTTTAAATTTGTAAAAGAGAGGATAGATGTGGAGAATCATAACTCTGAAATGGAAAATGTAACACTTTAGAAAGATAATTTCTAAGCAAAAATGTTGGTGAGGTCATCAAGTTCTATATTATCATTTTCATTGCAGCATATGGATGATTTATATCAGAGTCAAATAGTTGGGTGTCTAAAATGCAAGAGACTGGAACTCATCCCTGATATTTCAAATTTCTAGTAATGGGAGTCTAGTATTTCACAAACTCAAGTGGGATTTCCTTTATGAATATATTGAAAGAGAGGAATTAGAAAGGATATCCCAAACACACACATTTCAATGGTACATATTTAGTACTATTTAGAAGCCCTTCCTCAGACAACTAAATTTTTTAGTCAGTTATATTGAGTTAATTACTTACATTCAAAAATTTTATCAATTTTAATAGTAACATTAGATGATTATGAAATATATAAAATAATATAATCACTACATCAACCTTGGAATGGAGCATTTTCAAAAATCTCATGGAAGGTTTGTATATGTCATTTTGTAACCAGATGCTTTGTTTTCCCTATCCACCCCCAAAATCACTGGTTTCCATCACTGACTTTTTCTTTTCCCATGTAAGAGAGATTAAACAGCATGTGGTATTTTATACTTGTTTCTTTCACATAGAATATGTGTCCAATTTCTGCAGTTGTATCTATCAGTAATTTCATCCCTTTTAAATTTAACTTACATGGATCTGTTATAGTTTATTTAGCCATTCAATAATGAATATATATTTGGTTTTCTTCCAGATTTTTTCTATTATAAGTAAAGCTTCTATGAATAATTTTATTTAGGTCTTTATGTAGAAAAATGTTTCATTTCTCTTGAATAAATTCTTCAGAGTAAAATTGTTGGGTGATATTAGCTGTATGATAAATCCATATTTAACTTAAAATAATTGAATTCTTTTTCAGAGAAGCTATACACTTTCGCAACACATCATCAATGTATGAGAATTCCAGTTGTTCTACATACTCACCAAAAAAAAGTGGTGCTTAATTTTGAGTGCTCTGTATCGTAATTTTATAACTCTATGTATAAGCAATTTCTTTTTACTTCTCATTTCAACTTCCCTAATACATGATGTCTCTTTTACAGGTTTATAAGCATCCTTACTGAAGACCTACCTACATCTCACTATGTTAGCTTTTAGCAACACTTCTAATTGGCCCATTTTTTCCTTCATTGGCATTCCTGGTCTGGAGGCTGCACACATGTGGATTTCCATCCCCTTCTGTCTGCTGTACCTGGTAGCCCTTGCGGGTAATGTTCTTCTCCTCGTTCTCGTTAAAGCAGAACAGAAACTCCATGAGCCCCAGTTCTATTTTTTGGCCATGCTGGCCCTCACTGACATAGGGCTTTCATTGTCAACAATGCCTAGTGTCTTGGCTGTCTTCTGGTTTGATATCCACCACATTGGTCTGGATGCATGCCTGACCCAAATGTTCTTCATTCATACCCTCTCCTCTGTAGAATCAGGTGTGTTGGTAGCCATGGCTTTTGACCGTTTGGTGGCTATAAGTGCTCCTCTAAACTACACCAGGATCCTGACCCACTATACTGTTGCCTGCTTTAGTGGAGCTGCCCTCATACGAGGTGCCACTCTACTGGCTCCTCTGCCTTTTTTTCTCAGGGCCTTTCCTTTCTGTGGAGCCAATGTCCTGTCACACTCTTACTGCTACTACTCAGATATGGTGCACCTGGCCTGTGGGGATGTCACTTTCATCAGTGTGTATGGATTGCTCTGTGTACTCTGCACATTTGCAGTAGATGTCCTCTTCATTCTTGTTTCATACATGAAAATCTTGGGCACCATTATGAAATTAGGGATTCAAGATAGGAACTGGAAATCATTGCAAACCTGTGCCTGTCACCTATGCACAGTGCTTGTGTTTTACTTGCCCCTCATCAGTCTTGCAGTGCTGCATCGTTACACCCAGGAAACTTCCCCAGTTTTGTACACTACCATGAGCAATGCTTATCTCCTCATGACACCACTGCTAAACCCTCTCGTCTACAGTCTCAAGTCAAGGCAGATCCAAGCCGCACTGCACAAGCGATTTTGGATGCAACGTGTTGTTGCTGGAGAATGAGATTTTATCTATATTAGAACAGGCAATCATTTTTAAAATGGTATTTAGGATCTACTGTGTGCCAAGTAGTGTGCTAGGCACCATGATTTCAAACATGAAAAGAATCTCAGGTCTTCTTTGTAAGAAGAGAGCTAAGGTGGAAAAAGCAGATAGAGTTTTTAAATAAATTATCATGAAAGTGATCATGGATGACAATTGTTTGGTACAATAAGGAGAAATGGCAACAGGAAAAAAAAAGTTCAACGTTTTTGGAGTAGGAATTGAATGAAAATCACATTACCACCACTGCTAAGTTGATGATTCGAACTTTGGACTGTAAATGATCAATGAAGGGTTGATTTTATAGAGAAACCAAGATGTCACATGATCCAGAATTTCAATGTTGCTTAAGTTAGGGAATTAAAAATCCAAAATTGATGATACATTTATGAGTATATGTTTGACATTGATTGACTTTCTGAATATTGTAGTGATTAACAAGAGATAAAGGAGCTATATGAAAAGATATAATGCATGAGTCTGAGAAATGATTTTTTTACCCATATTGTCACTTCATTCCAAACATATACATTATTCAGATTTTGTTTTGTTTTGAACTTCATATCCAGAATATTTATATCCTAACATTGAAAACAAAGATGTACCTCTCTTCTTGAACTTCCCCAGGAGGGAAAATTAATTAGTATATTCTCTTCTGGGGCCAAACTCTTTTAAAGGTAGAGTGTAAGCAAATGAACTGTTGTCCTGCTGAATTCAAGGTTGGAGGCAAGTGAAAGAAAGAAACTCAATTATCTGTGAAAATACATGAACATGTAAATCAGCAAGAATTTGAAACTGCTTTAAGAAAGTTTGAAATGAATTTTAAATGATAGCTTAAATAATCAGAAAATATTTTTAATGTCTGGCACATTTAGCAAGCATCAGATTCATACAGAAAACATAATTATAATCATCACAAAACTTACATTCCACTAATTGAGGTTTGATTTGAGTTGCTGTGTGAATATAAAGGACAGAAAGGCAGTGAGGACAGCAAGCAATTAATAACTTCTTCTTCAAAGTCTTAAAAAGTCCATGAACAAAAGTACTGACAGCTTGGAACCTGTCTAAATTCTAAATGCATCACTTAGCTGTTGTCTATTAGATATTCACAGGATAGAGGAGGTTAAAATTATATTAAAAAGTGTCACTTTTTTTCTTTCAAAATAGAGATCACTCAAAAAGTATAACAAGCACTCAAAATAAGTGAAATTCTGTCTCTGAAATGGTTTTACCATCTTTTAGGGTCCAATTTGACTATTTATGGTACATCTTTCTGGTCAGAACCTCTTAACTCTGACTTCCCCAAGCGTGAGTACCAGGAACTTCACATCTGTGAATACAGGAGATAATTTTCCTTTGAGAAGCTCCTCACTTTTCTATATAGTGTGGGTAAGACCAATACTATGAATATTCCCATAAACATCACCATGTTTCATTGCAAATATTAAAAACTGAATACAAGTTTCCCCTTCATGTTTTATGCTAGGACTAAGTTGTATGAAAGATTTTCCTACTCTGTTTGTATCACAACACTTGAAAGATACCAAACCACTTGTGATCATCATCTTATTATATTTCTTAGTACTTTATTATTTTTTTAAATGGCTCTTGCTATGTAACCCAGGCTGACCTCAAACTTGCTGTCCTCGACTGTCTCAGGTTCCACTTGGGATTACAGATGTGGCCTATCATATCCAACTCCTAATTACATGGAAACAAATATTTGTCTAAATTAAGAAAATGAGTACAAAACAAAGCAGAAGTAATTGTGAAAGAAAAGAACACATACTAATGTTGATTCCTTAATACTACCACTGGATTCATGATATAATTTCTTTGAATCTGTCTATTTTGATATTTTAGATTGCTTTTGTTTAATTCTAAATGAAATAATGAGACAGTTTAAGGGTGTGTTCTGTTCATGTGAATTGGACCACTTATTTAATTCTATCCCATAATTTGAAAAGTTTATTCTTTTCTCAACTTGCTCACTGGGTAGTAATTCCCTAAGCTACAACATTTTTGTTTGGTTCATGTTCCTTGACGAGCAGAATAATTAAGGCTTAAGAATGGTTGTATACAGATGTAAAAGGTGGAACAGAGGAAAATGTGAGGAACAAAAACAAAAAGCAAAAAATTGACAGGTCATGCATGACGATTGAATTAATAAAATAAATCACAAGTTAATGTCTACAAAGATTGATTAAAATGACTAGAGTTATAATATCTGGCTCTGACCTATGGCTGTTTCAATATCAGTATGACAAATAATGTGATGTCTGGCTTTGATTTATAATTATACTATTGAAAAGTATATGTGCCATATACAACTATAAAATGGGTAAACTTAGTGCTAACACTTTAACAAATGTTCATATGCATGACTTTTAAGAAAAATGTAATTATAGAACTCCAAGTTTGTTTCTAAACTGGCGAAAAATTATATCATTTTCTGACTACCTTCTATATCATCACATGAGTGACAGAAAATTTTACTCTTTAGTTGTTTTTACTCAATACTGACTTGGCATCTGTCCTCTAACATATTTTTGGCTTATAACAGAATGATTAATTTTTATTGAACATCTAGTATGTGTCAGATACTGTCACTGTTATGTAAGTCATCACATTTCTTCTCACAGCATCCTCAGAAGTAGCCACCATTTAATAATGGTGTCTCCTTCTTACTGATGGAGACACTGAAGCACTGCCCCACTCATTATTTTCTATGGATGAAATAGAAAATGGAGACCTAATTTAATAAGTTGTGCTTGTCTTCAATTAAATGTAAAATCCAATGTAACAAAATCTGAAGAAATCAAGTATACTTTGCTTATAAAACAAGCTTCATATACATTGCTTTACTATGTTTTTGCTTTCATCTCTCATTAAGTATTTACATTAATGAGGCTTTAGCTGGGAGGGTTTCAGAATAAGAACTGTAAAATATAAAAAGATTTAAGTAAAAATTACGAAAATAAACCCTCATTTAGAATATTTTCCTACAAATATCCCAAACATCCCAACAATAATTCATATTTGAATAAAAATATAACAATAAAATGATTTATTTTAATCAGATTTGATACATATAGATGTGTATGATGAATTCAGGAACATTTTCATAGGACTATTTGGACTGAACTCTAAAAATGAGAAACTCATGATATTTAAGAAATATCTTTCCTTATTTTCTTGTTTAAACTAGAAAGGAATCTCCTTTTTCCAAGAGTTATAGTATAGCCCTGTACTATAAAAAAGGTACATCTAACATCCTTACTGCCTTGCATCCTACATTAAGTGCAAAAGGTCTACACAGCACATTTCTCATTTCATGTTTTCACACTGTGAACAAATGAGTTGAGAACAGGTGTGAGGAAAGGGTCAATGTTGAAAAATGAGTCTCTATGGGGATCAACTTTCTGGGGAGGTAAATAAATAGCATTGCATCTGCTTAACAATGCTTCATATTTTGGGGAGACATAGTCTGATGTTCCACACCTTTCTTAAGAAGTATTGTAACCAATTAAGATCATTGATTGTCTTATCAATGTAGCATTCCACTTAATCTACCAAATATAACAGATAATTTCTTGTTTCTCTAGAGTAGGTATTTTATTTGCTCTTCTTTCATATGTTTTAGGTTAGTTCTTTCATAATTATATATTAGGTGATGTTAACGTTTAGAAAATTGACATCACTAAATTCCATGTCAGAGAATATGGAAAAGATAATTCCAGAGTTATTTCTATTGAGGGTTGTACATTAATTTACTTTGTGTCTAACATAGCAATCACACTCCAAAATTTATTAAAATGCCTTTCTTAAAAATCCCTCTTCTTCAAATACTCTCTTTATCTTTATTGCCATCTTATAGTTCCCTTGAAAATAAATGAAATTATTAATGTTTGAAATATGCTATTTTATATTTGTGTTAGTATCTTGCTTTAATGTTACATAAATAGTATTTTACCAGGCTAAATTCATATTGACTAGCTTTTAAGGTAAAAATCTGATATTGCCTGGAAATCCTTTTGTTCATATATGAGACCACAGTGACTATATTGAGGAGCCATGGTTACAAGGCATGACTTGTACATTGTTGCGTATAAACTTAAGCAACATCAGGAGAATTTAGTGCTGTACCAGTTATCAAAGAATCATGTCAACACTCTTAATATAGACTCAAAATGTATTTTTTCATCTAATTCTTTCCTTTCAAGTCATTCTTCACACAGTAGCTGAGATGAATTTTCTAAATTTTTTAAAATAAAAATGTAATTACATCATCATTCTACTTAAGAAACTTTAGTGACCTTCTAAGTTTCATTATAACCTTGTCCTTGCAAAAATGCATCCAGTCTCATCTCACCATTTCAGCCAGGTCCTGTGTGCTAGTAACAAAAGTTTACTGAAAGGTTTTTGCTCTCTCCCTGTGTCACAGTCTACTTCCTTTGTCTCTCCTTTGACTGGAAGTCTCTTCCCTTTGTGTTTCCCCGCTAATTGTATTTAATCTTTCCATTCCACATATTTGCATTAATATATTTGTGTTAATACAATACTTTGGTGTAAAAGAAAACACATACTTGAATGCTGGTGTATGACTCTCAATATTTCTTTTTCTGAAATCTAAATCTATAAACTGTTCAGTAATTTAAAAGTAATATCTCATCTCTATATTACACTGGCCTAGCAGAACATTGAACGGCAAAATTGTTGAACAGAGAAGTAAAAATGTGGGTGCTCCTACAAATTGTCACAGTAATCCAAATAGTAACTGCATGCTTTCAAATTTATCTTTTGACTTTTAATATACATTAGGACAATGATCATATGTCTACTAAGTGTTCTCTCCTATATGACAATGATCATATGGTGCATGAAAACTTTACTAAATTGTTTTTTCTTCAGAGATTTTGAAATCTTTTAAGATAAGATTAAGGAAAGTCCATTTGTTCATCTTTTAGAAATACTGATATAATTACACATCAAGATTTTGTATAACTTATTATTAGTAGAAATATCTTGAAGTTATGGTAGTTCTTGAATAATATATGCAATACTTTAACAATAATATGTTTTAGTATTAATTATTTGTAAACAAAACATATTTTCCAATGTATCTTCAGAACATAGAAAAATCCCTTGAACATAAAGCATGTCCAATATTTAATGAGAGACAAAAATGATAAATAAGTGGACTCCAAAAGAGAGGAAACACACAGAGTTCACAGCAGAGATATTTTGCAAGGGACATTGATTTGTATGAGAAAGACTGAAAAACCTGATCCCTCTAGGATTGGGATGACAGGAATCCTGTTAGCCTTGGGTTTGACCACTTTGTCACTCCCTGCAATAAACCATCATGGTTACTGATTCACAAGTCACCAAAATAGGGCTAACAGTCCTTCTGAGGGATACAACACTCATTTACTTTTCTGTCTCTTCCATAGATTCTACTCAAATCTAAAGTAATTTGCTAAATATTTATATTCCCAGATCACAGCAAATGTGAAACATATCAACATTTTATTTTATTTTATGACTTAATAACATCCTATTATGGGTGTACACACACACACACACACACACACACACACATATATATATATATGCACCCATAATGTATGTGTATATATATATATGTGTGTGTGTGTGTGTGTATGTATATATGTATATACATATAACTATTTGTTTATACATTCATGCACTAAATAGCAGATTAATTTTACCTAATGATAAATTTTCAATTTCTAAATTCTACTTAACAGTGTAACAATATCTATTGACTTTCCTTAATTTTCAGATGTTTACTTGTGAATGACATTTTTAGGAAGATAACTTGATATTTATAAGAGCAAGTTCATTCTCTTGCTTTCTGGTACTTAATCCTATTTCATTGCTGTTTTCCAAGAGGTGATTATTAATTGTCTGGTCTTTACAGTCTCAGTTTTTGTGTATTTCATTTGTGTTTTTCAAAGAGGAAGCAAAATGAAAATAGTCATAGTGAATTATCCTACATTGATGTTCATATCTACTCTCATTTCACAATATTATAAATTAACATATTTGCCAATTTTCTTCCTCAATAATCATCAAAATATCATCATCTTCCTGGCATGCCTTAAAGTGATGACATATTCCTTAGAGAGAAGCAAACAAATGAAAGGAAAGAGAGTCATGATGCTTGTCTGTTTTTCTAAGGCCATATGTGACTAATTGAACAATTTTCCCTGTCCTTGAATGCCTTACACACTGCTGATCTTATTGGTTTGGTTTTCAGGCTATAAGCCAAGGGATTAAGGAGGGAGTCAAGAAGAAGAAGAGATTGGCCATGGTGATGTGGAGAAGAGGAGATGTGAATGTACCAAACCTATGAATTAGGGCCAACATAATGAGCGGCATATAAAAGATGAAGACAGTGAAGATGTAGGAAACACAAGTATTAAGTGTGTTGAGTTGACCCTCTCCTGAGGCAATACCCAGCACTGTTTTCAAAATCAAGATGTATGAAATGACAATGAGTATAGAGTCAATTCCAAATGAACAGAGGACTAGAGCTAATCCATAGATGACGTTGACTCTGACAGGGCCACAGGCCAACTTCATAACATCAGGATGGTAGCAGTAACAATGGGAAAGAATGACACCCTTGCAGAAGGGCAGGCTCTTGAGCAGAATGGGCAAAGGTGTCATCAACACCACACTCCTTACCACAGCTACAAGCCCCATCCCAATAATCCAAGAAGGAGTTAAAACCACAGTATAGTGCAGTGGGTTGTGAATAGCTACAAACCTGTCAAAGGCCATGGACAGTAGGATAGCTGATTCCATAGAAGAAAAGGTGTGAATGAAGAACATCTGTCAGACAACAGTGGAATTCAATCTGCCTGTGATTAAAGAGGAAGACATTCAATACTGTAGGCAGAGTTGATACAGACAGACCCACATCTATAGCTGCCAGCATAGACTGGAAAATGTACTGAGACACATAAGGGATGGAGGTGGTTTTGATAACAAGGAAAATGGTGCAGTTTCCTAGGAGGGTGATTAGGTACATGATACACAGTGAGATAGAGATCCATATTTGTATAGCCTCTAGTCCAGGGATGCCTGTTAGAAGAAGAGTCAATGGTTGAAACCAGCTACTGTTCATAAGCTCCATAAAGATATCTCTTGGAATACAACCCAGATAAATGTTCACATGTCCTAATAGGAAGATAAAAAAAGAATGATGGATTTTAACAAGAAGACATAATGCATCTAACTTTACTGGGATAGCATTAATACTAGACATGTTTATGTTGAGGAATTGAACCTTAGAAGATTACCAAACCTATCTGAATAACTATCCAAAGTTTAGGCACCGAATAATTGCTATTAAAATGTAAGAGCTAGTAGAATTCCTTTGGCCTAGAACAATCAAACACTGATCAAGTGAAAATAAAAATTAAGGACATAACTTACTTTGTATCTCAATGGGAGAAAAGAAACATTCTCAGAAGTGTTTATCTTTCCTGGTATATTTAACTATGTTTGTATCTTCTTTAATTTCCACTGTTTTTGGCAAAACTCTGGAAGGAGTTTCTATACTTTCTCACACAGCATATCAAACACTTAGATATCTGGAAACATGGGACATTTTCCTGGTATTTCTCCAGGCAGAAATAAATCACAAGGTGTTTCAATCACTCAGACAACACAATTCTCTTTTTAAAACTTCATGTGATAACTTTCATTCTTACAATGAATTTTAGATTGTTTGGCATTTTCTTTGAAAAGAATAGGCATATTTTCTCAAAGGAGTATACACATTCAAATATGAAAAAATGATGAAATTCTTTAAATAGGCAGTCATAACTTAGCTGCTGCTAGCATAGTACCAAATATCAAAAATAATTTCACAAAGTTGAAATATCTCTACTCTAAAATGTTAACATAGTCACTAGAAATCAATAAATACCAACACTTTAGTAAATGCTATCCTAATTGGAGGAAACTGTATTATTTCATGAATTTATCATACAAAAGAAATAGGAAGAAATATTATCATGATTAGTTCAATGCACATAGGCTTAAGAAGTATATATTTTTAAAAAATCTCCATTTTCCACACAGAAACAGAAAATACTAATGTAACTACAATTGGAGATGGAGCCAGAGTAGGAAAGAAAAGTAATACCTAGGTTAAGCTTTACCTAGAAAAGCATGATATCCAAACACAATGGTTTTTAAAAGTATATTAACTAAAAACATGGTGAAAATAGCAATTACCAGTGGAAAAATTGAACACAAGTTAAAGAAGGATTATTTTTCAGGAAAATGGTTGCAGGCAGAGAGGAATGAGACAAGAAACTACTCTCTCTTTCCCCCCCCTTTTTTTTTTTTGCTTGTATACAGAATTAGAACCTCTGTACTATTTTAGAACTATGTAAATATAAAAATACCCACAAAATTATCTTTTTAAAGTGCAAATAACTTTGAAGACAAGATGTTAGCTGAATCACAATTTTGATCCAGTATTGTGTAGACCTATACTTGATCAGTCTTATATGCAGAACTTCTCAGCCCAGGATACCAACTGCATCTTGCCATATTCTTTCATAGTATGACTAGTAATGAATGTTTTATGAAGTATGTCTATTTAGATGATGAAGAGAAATAAGCAACTTGTAGAGCCCCTAATAAAAAGACCATCTTATTTGGGACCTAATTCTCATCTGTACATGTATGGAGTATCCACTTCACTCAAGTTAAAAAAGGTTGGGGGAGCTTAGAGTTTAATAGACTGGAGTTACCAGACCAAACCACATATACTGCTGATAATTGGGCACTCAAAACACTGCCACTGCTTCGTCACTATATTAAACCAAAGAATCTCTTAAAAACATGAAATTTCTGACCTTGTACACTGCCACATCTGTTTTAAATAAACAGAAATACACATAGATACAGATGCAAACATTATATATACATACATATATATCAGATCTTACTTTATTTTTACTCTTTTACAGAATATGTTAGAATTATTTCTATTCTTTGTACTTATCTTTCCCTTCTATATTTAGCACTGTACCCATCTATATCATCACCACCAGCATTAAAACCTCATCCATACCTCTGCAATAACTATTGTAAACATAAGTGTATAGTGAGTCCATACCATACTTAGCTATTTCATTTTAACTACTTCTTGTATCTATAGACATGGTCCTTTCCAATCAGAATGATTTTTTTGAACTAAGATTTTTTCTTGGTGACTTTCCAATCTAAAGATTGATTGCTTTGATTCATTGGATATAACTTACTTATTCTTACATTAGAATTTTCGTACTTTTTTGATAACATTTTCAAATATAACCAGGTTTTTTCTCAACCGACAGTAACTAAATCAGTTGATCAGTTTGCATTCAACATCCTATTAAATATTGCTATGACTATCTCATTTCAAGAGAATTCCTTCTGTCATTAAATTACTACAGAATGTACTGAGATGCTTGACATTTAGCCCATTCAATTTCATGTTTAATTCTATCTGCTGCCTAAATGAGTTTCTCTTATTTGAATTTAAATATCTTTAAACTGGTGCTTGCATTCTTCGCATATCTCAATGAGATCCTTTAGATCTGTTTGGACAAACAAGGAACATATTAGATATTTATTAAAGAAATTAATTAATAATTTGGATATTCTTAATGTAGCATTCCTAACACCTAGCAGAGACATAAAACTTACCAGTAACCCAAGATCCATTTTCAACTCTAATGTCAAAAAGTTTTGGATTGTATTGTTCTTTGGGTTCATTTAAAACTGAAGGGTAGATGCTAGGAAACATGAACGTAGAGGAGTAAATATATGTCAACTGGTAGAGGATACTCATTCTAAAATTTGTCAACTTGCTAGATTTGAAGTTATCCTTGTCCTGGATTTCCATTTAACTGTATGGTGGATTATCCACCCTAGCCATTCTCAGAATATTCTTGAAAATCCAGAATATATTTTCCCATTGCAATGAATATAGCTCCCTTTTAACCTCTTGCAGATCTCTTTTTGAGATATAATTCCTCTGATTTGCTTTGGTCCCAAAGAAGAAACTTACTCTGAAATATCTCTTCTTTCACTTGCCAACAGTAAAAGGAAACTCTTGTAAAATTCACCTATTCAATTAGGGCTCTCTATTTTTATCTTTTCCTAGCTCTCCTTCCTCTTCCTCCCCTAAGGAATCAGAGCTTCAGTGTTTTTCCTTTTCCCCAAAAAAGGAAAATTTCAGTTAAGGATCTACTAAACATAATGCCACATCTCTATTATTTTAATGAATAGGATGTGATCTCCTCACCAGGAACCAAAACCCTCAAAACAGGTTTGACAAATGAGTTCAAACCGAGAACTTCCTTTCCAATCTCACCTCCCTTGTATAGGTGGGCAATGGGTGGACTCTTAGGAGATGTTCAAATCTTCTGATTGAAGGAGGTGCCTTGCAGCAGAATTATTTTTTGCAACAAATATAGAATCATAGATGAATGTATCTGAGAGAAGTTATTAAAATATTACCATGACATGCTAATTGCAATATGCCACATATGAGATACCACAAAAACAAATCACTTGGAACCAAGGACATGGCAAAATTGTTTTTCTCTATATTACAGAGTCTTTAAAATTTATTGTGCATTCAGTCATAAAACCAGTGGTTCTTCTCACATTCATCAAAAACATATGAGGAACTCTTCTACACAAGTGGTTGCTTCTGATAAGTGAATGTTTAGTATCTGAACTTAGTTTGGATCATTTTGAGGTGAATATTTTTTAAATATTATTTTCAACTTTCTTTCTGAGAGGCTTTGAAAGGTCAAAATTGTCTGTTACTGTCATTGCAAATGTGCATTATCATATTGTTTTACAACACTGTGCCACTGTAGATTGTTTGATGACCATAGGGCCATTTAATTTGAGTTAATGTTGCCACATTAAATTGTTTTTTTCTTCTTGTAAAGTTGTTGGTTTTGACTTTCCCCCACTTTTTAATGTTTTGTTATATTTTTATTGTGGTTTTAATTTTGTGCTCATTTTTCAAGTTTGTGTTAATTATTTTCTCCTTTACCTCAAATGTCAAAGCACGATCTGGTGTGTGTGTGTGTGTGTGTGTGTGTGTGTGTGTGTGTGTGTGTGTATAACATGCACACATATATATGTGACATACACATATATACACATATATATATGTCAAAATATACTTGATCAATGAGGAATGAATGAATGATTAGCCACTTCCACTTTGGGCAGAAATCAAGAAAGAGAGGTTAATTTCTTTCCACTTAATGAAGCCAAACTAAATAGATAAAGTTATGAAACAACTGTTCAGAAAACAAGAGACATCCTGAAATGTGATGTTCTGTGAGAGAAAGGGAAACAAATATGATAAGTTTTATGATTGCTGAAGCTTGCAGCTCTGAGAGAGTTTGTATACCCTGGAAAATGTAGAAAACTAGACCAAGCCTGTGAACTCCCAGAGCTGAACAATCATGACTGAGAATTAAATGAAACCAAATTACTGAGTTAACAGAAATGGAGGACACAGCTGCACAGAGATCTGTATTAAGGTACCCCAGATATCTATTATGATATTGACTGGTTGCATGTGTTTTAGGAAACTACCCGGGGCCAAACAAACACCCCAAATATATTTTTATATAGACCTGTTGCTCAACATGGCCTGAATAAGCGTCTTTTTCCCAACCTGATTAAAATACTTCATAATTCACAGGGCACTGCACAGTGCACATATAAAACTGAAATCCTAATAGCAGGAACCAATTAATAAGTAGTCTTAGACTAAATGTTTTCTGGTTACCCATGAAAAGTCTTAAAAGCAATATTTTAAGAATCATACTGCTTCCTGATAATTTAGATGCAACATCAGAACAAAAATTAAGAAAACTTAAGGACTGAGAGTTATGGATATAGGAACAAAGTTTCAGTCTCTGGGGCTTAGATCACAAGACAGAATTGGAGCTGAGCCTAGCCACCTCAGGGCTCCTGCTACGTGCCTTGGATCTGGTAAAACTGGCTGAGTGTGCCCAGCTGTCACTGCTCAAGCCTTGGAGCAGCTAGGTGAACGGTGCTAGTAGGTCCTGCTTACTCCTTCTCTAAGGATACATTCCA